TCCAGCATGTAGTCATTCTCAGGGATGAGATCTGCTATAGCCACGCAGTAACGCCACACAGCGGAGGACACACAGGTGGAGTCGAGAGGACTCCACACCTGCCTCCTTCCCGGGATGGGTCAGACAGCACACTCTTCCCCTAGTAACACACACGCAGTATACCTGCCGAGATGCCCTGCAGAGGCCAGGTGGCCAAGGCTCTGATAAGGAGCGGGTCACACACATACCCTCTGCCCGCCCCCCCCCCCCACGTGCCAGAGCGCCCAGAGGAAGGCAGGGCAGCTAGGACTATCAGTTACTGCCAGTCCAGGCCACGGGGGAACTCTCCCGTCCGGGCACGTCCTGCCCACAGTCCTCTCTGAGGCGCAGTCTCAGGCCCGCGATGTTAACGCATTTCTGCATGGACACCTCGAGCTGTCTCCAGCACAGTCAACCCCCGCCATTATGCTGCTCTGTCCTGAATATTGTTACAGAGCAACACAAAGGCCAGTGTTTTATTTTTTACATCTGAACACAGGCAAAGGGTGTGGTTCAGCTTTAAGTTATGGCAATGGATTTCTACAGATTCCACTACTTCTTAACCCACACGCATTTAGCAAGTAACTACATCCATTAGTGACGTATACGCCATTGATACAGAATGCAACACAGACAGACAAGACAGGGCGCACAGAGGAAGGAAGTAATCCTGTGCGGCTCACCAGCTGCTGCCCCTAGTATCAAGCTATCTAAATACACAAACGGACTAAATACATGGCTCACAATACAATTTCTGCTACTAACACCAAGCAGAGAAGACTCAGCATCACTGTTGTTATTTGCCATCAAGTTGGACCCGACTCATAGCAACCTCTCCTTGGGTTTCCGACGCAGAAATCACTACGGAAGTGGATAGCCCAATCTTCCTAGCTAAGGTCGTATTTTACCTTCTCATGTGCTAGGCCAACAGTGGTGGTTTTAAAAAGCTGACTTCTTTAAATACTGGAAGTACAGGGAATAAATCCTATTCCAAACGAATGACCGAACTGCTGGCCTCGTAGGGCAACCCCACAGCAGATGATGGATGTGGGAAGCCCGTCATAAAAACACTTGCTTTGTATCTCAGTCGCTTAAAAACAACCCCCAGTCTCCATCCCACAACCCTAGGTCTGGAAAGCCCGCTGAGGAAAGGCTGTTAAATGCCGAAAAGTGCTCACAGTTAAGACAAAGTATACACACACGGGGGAAGATACGGATGCTGCTTTCTAAGAAGCAAACTCTGATCCAACTTTTTAAAAAGCAAAGCTGACTGACACCTCGAGGTTTAGGGAAAACAGAGACAATCGAGTGAAATTTTTAAAGAGGAAGAGCAGCTTCAGAAAATAAAGCCCATGACAAACAATGCCCCGTAACAGGTAACGGAACTCTGCCCCCGCTGCAGCGACTCACGGGGGCAACGCAGGGCAGTGGTGGGAAACCTCACACTCTGCTGTAACAACAGCTGTCGGCGGCCACTGCGTCAGCCCATTCACGGCGGCCCAAGTGTGCAGACAGGACCTGCTCCACAGCCTGCGGCCTTTCGGAAGCAGCGCACCCAACTTCCCTTCCAAGGCACCTCGGGAGGAGGGGGTTTGTTGAACCGCCAACCTTTCAGCTAGTAGTCAAGCACAAAACCACTTTCCCTTGAAAAACTTACCTAAACAAAGTCATTGTCTTTTACATTTACATTTTGAATACATGTTCACGTTTGTTTGCACAAATATTAAAGTTATCATCATTGCTGCCTTACAATAATATCAAAAAAAACCAAACCCACTGCCATCGACTCAATTCTAACTCACACCAACCTCCACTGGGTTTCCAAGGCTGTTATCTTTACAGAAGTTGATTGCCTTATCTTTTTCCCACGGAGCAGCTGGTAGGTTTGAACCACCACTCTTGTGGTTAGCAGCCAAATGCCTTACCCACTGAGCCACCAGACCTCCTAACTTTTCAAGAATATAGTAGCACAGTGCCTAAGGCATGGACTGCTAACCAGAGAGCTGGTGATTCAAACCCACCAGCAACTCCTCGGAAGGAAGATGGGGCAATCTACTTCCATAGTGATACTGCCTCGGAAACCCAAGTGGGGGGTCGCTATGAGTCGGGTCCGAACTCGAGGGCACACAACAACAACAATACATAAATTATAAATCCTAAATTTAGAAGACTTTAGTCAATGTTTTCACTTCATGGTAATTACCCCATTACCGTTAAGCTCTTAATTACCCTTAATAATCAAATTGGGAGCTCTGGTAGCATAGTGGCTAAGACACTTGCCTGCTAACCAGTTTGAACCACCAGCCACTCCTCGGAAGGAAGGTTGGGCAATCCTACTTCCGTAGTGATACTGCCTCGGAAACCCAAGGAGGGGTCGCTATGAGTCGGGTTTGACTCGACAGCACATAACAACAACAACAACAATCGAATTATAAATAAGAATTTAACTCAAGAAGTTGAGTTAAATGGTCCAGACACGATGTTTAAAATCCTCCAGTTTTTAAGCTAGTAGATGAAGCTTCTCCTCCACCACGTTTTTTAACCAATTAGACAACGGGAGGGGGAGGGGCACACACCAGAGATTTGCTCAGTTTTGTAACCGTGGTAATTCCAGAAATGAAGCTGGGATCCAGGTCCCCGTGCTGCACCTCATCCAGCTGAATTCTCACTTAGATTTAAACCCCTAATGGTCAGATGGGCGCTCTGGTGGTGCAGTGGTGAAAACATCTGGCTGCAAACCAAAAGGTCACCTGTTCAAACCCACCAGCCACTCCACAGTCTGCTTTCGACAAAGATTTACAGCCTTGAAAACTCTGTAAGGCAGTTCTATTTGGTGCTAGAGGGTCGCTAAAAGCTGGAACAGACTTGATGGCAGTGAGTCTGGTTGGTCTGGAATGGCTGTATAAAACTAAATCAGAAGGGTTACAGTGTAAAGGGAAAACATGATTCAAAGTAAACTGTCAAATTTCAGAACATCATAAACTGTCTATGCTGACAAAAGCTGCTATGACCAATTCAAAACATTTCTCTGTTAAAGTTGCTGGCATTCTGTTTTAAGAAGCCTCAACAGAATTTGCCAGTCCTGAAGATTAAAGTTGGCACTGTGAAAAGACATACATCACAACGAAGCTATGTGTAAGTGCTACGGATAAGAGGGAATTCAAAGCCTGGTCTTAAAGAAGACATGGATTAAAATTTAGTGTTTCTGAAGACTCCTAGCAACGTATAATTATATGGGTAAGCGTTTGCTCTGTTTCACTTGTGAAAAAAATACATACATTGAACGGTATAGGTTTGTTCCTCCCCACAAAATTATTAAATTGATAGGATTCAACAGGTAACAGATGGCATTTCAGAATCCACGAATACAACAAATCCTGATTATACTTTCAGTCACTTTTTTGTGCAACAACAGGACTAATGGTAACAATCCTTGAAGATCTCACCAACAAGCAAAACAGTAACAAAGTCCATTTGTAACTAAATTTTATCTTGGAACCATTTTGCCACCTCTTTTGAGCCACAAACTGGGATGAGGAAAGGAAACTTTAAAAAATGGGCACAGAGATATGACTGAGATGAGCATCCTACAGTCATGGGTGTATTTTCAATGCACACCCAATCTGAGAACACACTGTGCAAAAACACAACATGCCATCAACTCAAATTCAGAGGTGAAAACTAAGAGAACAGCAGCTTTGACTGAATGCCCCATAATAATTTCACTGTTCAATGAAATTCAGCTTTGAAGATAATCATCAAAATGGTCTAACAACATCCTTCTGAATGCCAACGTCACATCATCATGGACCTGAAGTTGAGCTATGTGCAAGCGAGCTCATCTAAAGCCTAGTCTTCTGAACTGTGACGTGAAGGGCGATCATCTAAGTAAGAGAGATCCATGATAGATTGATTCTACATAAATGTGGTTAGCTAAAATTCCCAGTTGTTGTTGTTATGTGCCGTCGAGTCGGACCCAACTCACATTGGCCCCTCCTTGGGTTTCCAAGGCAGTATCACTACGGAAGTAGATTGCCCCATCTTCCTTCCAAGGAGTGGCTGGTGGGTTTGAACCTCCAGCCTTCTGGTTAGCAGTCAAGTGCCTTAGGCACTACGCTACCAGAGCTCCTTAAAAATTCCCAGTACACCTACATATTTTAAAGCAACTTTCAAATGCTTAAAATAAAATTAGTATGTTTATAACACTCTGAATCCTGAACCACAAAATTAAATTCGTTACCACAGCACAGTTGTGCCTTTGGCAAATGTGTTTCCTAAGTCATCCCAAATAGTTTTAAAAAGTTTCCAAAAAGAAAACCCACAGAATGCCCAGGTAATTTATCATGGCCTCGAATATTATGGAGAGTAAACAATTCCTTGTGTAGTTTAAATCCCTCATGTTTCATATAAAAAAATCCATTCAATTAAACATTATAGTCATTCTAATTTCCTCAAAGACTGATACCAAAAACACTTCTAATTTCTGAGGTAAAATACTATTCAAGATCAAAAATCACATTAGAATATCATACTAAGCCAAATGTAAACTACTCATTGATCTAAAAAAAAAATTAATCCATCAAATTAGGCTCAACTTAATCCTAAAAGTTTTAAGCCAACAATGGATATTACCTCTGCAAAGATAAAACACATAACCCAAATGCCCAAAGGTTCACTTGAGAGAAAGGTTTATAACCCCATGTGAGAAAAGGGTCATTTGGATTAAGAACGAGACTCCACAGTCCCACGCTGACCTTTCAGGACATACACATTATTGCTGGCAACACACAGGAGTCAAATGTCTACACTTCAGAGAACTGTTCCATGAAGTTCAGTGATAACAAGAAAACAGCCCATCAGAGTACTGCTGGCAGTTGCCAGAACTGACTTGTTCACAAATCGTGTGTCCCAACAGAGGCCCTTCTGATTAGGGGAATGTCAGGGTGCTCAACTCAACCATCCCCTCAGTTAAGCAAACAGACCCCTCACAGAGCTGTCCAACACTGCCCAAACTATCCATCCTTTAGGCGCCTCAGTCAGTTTCATGAATTGTAGAATTCATCTTCTAGTCCAGTGCTGACTCAGAGGGTAGCTTGTTCCCTAGAGAAAACAACCAACGCAAATCAGAACAGCTACTGCTCACAAGCTCTTCCAACACCCAAGTGGAATGAATCACTTAGTGGGTCAAAAAAAAAAAAAAACCGGTTCAACTTCCTTGCCACTGCAGAAGTCTCCAATAAACCCAGGGAGTCTATAGGCCACGGGCAGTTCTTGAGTCAAGCTTGGACTCGGCTATGAGAGACAATGAACAGCTAACTTCAAGCTGACAATCAAAGCATTCACACAAACCAGATGGCTTGTCACTGAGGAAGAAAACGCATGCAGGGAATGTAAAATGGAGAGGACTCCAAAGGCCAACACTGTTGTATGATCTTTGAAAAAAGGAGCTCTGGTGGCCTGGTGCTTACGCACTTGACTGCTAACCAGAAAGTTGGTGGTTCAAATCCATCAGCCACTCCTTAGAAGCAAGATGGGGCAATCTACCTCCATAAAGATTTATCACCTCGGAAACACAACGGGGTCGCTATGAGTGAGGATCGACTCGATGGCAGTGGGTTTGGCTAGGTGGTTATGTTTGGTTTCAGAGTGTGTGTGCTGGAGGGTGGGGGAGAAGACGGCAATGGAATCTCCTGGGAAAAGCGTTTGTGCGCTGAGTTTGTGGAGCTGCCCTGCTCACAGCCATCCTCAATGAGCGAGAGGCCCTCATTCACTAGTCAGAGAAAACACTCGGAGTCAAAAGGGGAGAAGAGTAACGTGGGTCGAGAATAAAGCTCTTTCTGGAGACCTGCAATACTGCGCCCCCACCCTCCTGACATTTGAAACCAGAAGACCCACACCCCCAGTCTAGGAGCTGTAGGCCACAGTCAAGCAGGCGTGCCTTTCCATCTTATGAGTAAGGGTTCTGTCCAAACTAACACGCCATACCAAAAAAAAATAAACAAGAAAGGGAACCAAAGGGCTGAAGCTAACTCCAGAACTGAAGTGTCATTTTGATTCCAAGGTTTTCATAAAACAACCATGTTAACGCAAGACATTCCTCCCGAAGAATCACGAAGGCAACTTTTCATTTTTAAAATGTGTTAACACTGTTAGTTATCCAAGCACAAAACACATCCTAATCTGAAATGTACCTTTCACACTGCAAGTTCTAATACACAGGTTAAAATCTGAATGCCCAAGAGCTGACTTGCAGGACAAGAGAATACAGCCACCTGACACTCTGGTAATTCACAGGACACACACAGGTACGGACACACAGAGGTGTGCTAACGTCTAAGATGTGGTCTGTGAGACAGGACTTTATGGGATTTGGACGTATGCGGACACCATGTTTTATGTATTGTTTTTCTATGTATCTGATACGCAGGTATCAAAGCACACCGTCCTTCGCCCCAAGGTGCTCTGGCTCTCCATTAGCACCCAGAGCCTCTGGGTTTGCAAACTTGCACTTGCAATAGGCTGTCTCGGGGTGCGGGGCTCCTGTAGCATCCCCAGGAAGCCGGGTCGGAACTGAAGTCCCGAGGGACAGAGCGGCCACAGACTAGCATCTGCGCCTAGGCACCGACCTACAGGGCAGCCAGAGCAGGCCAATGTGGCCATAGCAGGCCCAGGAGCCAAACCACTGGGCTACAAACTCAATACTTGACCCATCTCCTGGCACCCTTGCAAGCAAGCTCCTCCTCCCAGCCCTAAGGATATGTATGTAGTTGGATGTTGCCCTAATGGATGTTACGTGTTGCACACCTGGATGAGTCTGTATATATGCATCCCACTCACTGCCATCAAGTTGATTTTGACTCATAATAACCCTAGAGAACAGAGTGGAACTGCACCATAGGGTTTCCAAGGCCGTAAACCTTTACGGAAGCTTACTGCCTCATCTTTCTCCTACAGAGCAGCTGGTAGGTTCGAACCACTGACCTTATGGTTAGAAGCTGAATGCATTAATCATTGCACCACCAGAGTTCCTACATAGGTGTGTGTGTGTGTATAAATAACAACAACAAAAAAACTCACTACCATCAAGTTGGATACAACTCACAGAGACCCCTCCTTGGGTTTCTGAGGCAGTATCACTACGGAAGCAGACTGTCCAGTTTTCCTTCTGAGGAGCGGCTGGTGGGTTTGAACTGCCAGCCTCCTGGTTAGCAATCAAATGCCTTAAGCACTACGCCAGCAGAGCTCCCTGTGTGTGTATACATGTATATAAATGTGTGTGTCTACATAACTGTGTATACACAAATACATATATATTTATTTATGTAACACCTTCCCGATTCTCTGCTTTGCCGCCCTTTCTCAACTGGAGTCTCAGGAGGATAAGGCCTGATGGCCAAGGCGCCCACTGCATGATATCATGTTCTCTGGGCCACATGAGGAGCCCGAGATGAGGAAGGCTGCCACTTTTCCATCTGCTCCCTGGTAAACGCCATCCTACCGAGAGACAGGCCTTCTAGGCTGCAGTTTCCAAACTATACTCAATAGGGCCCTAGGCCTTCCAAAGCTGCGTCAGGGGTTCTGCAGGTATCTCATTTGAATTTCGTTTATTTCATTTATCGTTTTACTACTAAATGAAGAATAAAATCACAAAGACATGTCTACATTAGGATGCATCCCAGAGATCATCACCAATACTATTCTCAAGTTTCATGTGGACTTCAGACTAAAGCATCTCTCTCCTGTCAGTCCTGTGCACAGATATGAATTTTTCATTAATAAAGCAGAAACTAGGAGCTCTGGTGGCACAGTGGTTTAGTGCTCAGCTGCAAAGAAAAAGGTTGGTGGTTTAACTCACCAGCCATTCTGCAGGAGAAAGATGGGGCAGCTGATCCTGTAAAGATGACAGCCTTGGAAACCCTGTGGGACAGTTCCACTCTGTCCTCTAGGGGCGCTGTGGGTCAGAATCGACTCCACAGCAGTGGCTGTGGTTTGGGCTTTGCTTCTGTGAAGATTGACAGCCTAGGAAACCCTGTGGGGCAGTTCCACTCTGTCCTCTTGGGCGCTATGAGTTGGAATCGAATCCTTGGCAGTGGGAGGTAAGATATGGGCTCTGCAATCATCTAAATTGAAGTTCACATATACTCAGATAAAACTGAACAAATGAGAGCACATGGCATTCATGATTTTCACGTTATTATGTGAGAAAAATATAGGAAAATGCGACTGAGGACTAGGGTTGCGATCATTACCCTTCACCTACCAATTTTCATTTGTACAACCGAACACCACAGCCTTGGTACTATCACTGAATGACTTTCTAAGTAAATGCTACAGATCTGACCAGGTAAATGCCAGTTTCACCTAGTTTACTTAATTTCACCTTTTGTACAGGCTTTGAAGGAGCCCTGGCAGCACAGTGGGAAATGTTCAGCTGCTAATCAAAAGTGGTTGAAGTCCACCCAGAGGCTCCATGGGGAAAGAACGTGGCCATCTGCTCCTGTAGAGATGACAGACTAGAAAACTCTAGGGGGCAGCTCTACTCTGTCACCTGGGGTCACTAGCAGTTGGAGGGGACTCAATGCCACATGACCACTTCATGAGAGTTCTGCTGCTTGAAGAAACCTTTGAAAACCTCTGTTCTAAGCACTAATTAAGTTTAGGTTTTACTAGTTCCAAGGTTCCCCAGGGGCAGAAGTAGTAATTAAGTCGGCAGTTCTCCCTGTCTGCAGAGTCCAAGGGGCTGCAGCTGCTCCTTCCTGTCCTCTCTCCCGCTAATTCCCTCCCTCCCCTGCCCCACGTTTCAGCATTCCTCAAAACCACCTGCCACTCTCCAGGGTGTTGACGGCAAGGAAAGCCAGTGAAGCCTTTGAGACAGGTACCAAGCACTTTAAAACATGGAGAAAAAAATAAAACCCCAAACCCACTACCATCAAGTGGATTCCAACTCACAAGAGACCCCACTCTATTGAAATCTCTATTGAAGTACACTGCCGTATCATCTTTCCATGGAGTGGCTGGTGGGTTTGAACTACCAACCTTCTGGTTAGCAGTCAGATGCCTTAGGCACCGTACCATCAGAGCTCCTTAAGTATTTTAAACAGACGGAAAATTTCTCAATCTTGGTGCTGTTTTAGAGTTCTTCACTCTCTCTCTCTCTCCCTCCCTCTCTCACTGCCATCGAGTCAATTTGACTCACAGCGACCCCTCCTTGGGTTTTCGAGGCAGTATCACTACAGAAGTAGATGGCCCAATCTTCCTTCCGAGGAATGGCTCATGGGTTTGAACCACCAGCCTTCTGGTTAACAGACAAATGCCTTAGGCATTATGCCATTCCAGCCAATCTAATTGTCTTCATTTGTTGTTGTTCTTGTTAAGTGCCGTTGAGTCGTTTCCGACTCATAGCGACCCCATGCACAGCAGAACGAATGTCTTCATTTGGTGAGCAAAAAAATCTAGCCATTCTAATTTTAAAAATAAAATTTTAAAATAAAATGATACCGTTTTTGCAGAGATGAGGGTGCTCCACACAAGAGTGCTTCACTAATGGCAGACTTCAAATTATTTATCTGCAAAGATCAACCAGAAAGAAACTCCAACAGGAAAATAAGATTAATGGAATCACCTGAACAGAAATAATGAGAATGGTCATGTATTTGGAAGTATGTACCCAACAGATTGTCACTGAACAATCTGTGCAGGAGTTACAGGACCCTAAACTGCTTTGTAAACTCTCACTGCAACCCAGTCAAATAGGATTTTAATAGAAAAGAAGAAAAAATGGCAGGAAGAGAAGGCTGACCAAGAGGCTGGGGTAGAGCTCTGTGACTCATGGCTGCCCCTGTAACCGTGGGTTCTCCTCAGGCACAGAACTACTCCTAAGAGTTGACTGTTACTACCTGACAGCTTAAAGGGCCAGGCAGAAGAACCACTACCCCTAGCAGAAGGCTAGTATTTAGCCAGCATGCACTGGCACCAAGGGATACTTGCTTAAAACACAACAAACTACAGTAACAGGTAGCAAACAGCCCTGCCCCAGCCTTACCGAGGATAAGGCACTGAGCCGCCCCTAAACAATCCCAAAACGGCTGCAACGGGGCCCG